AGTGGGGGGAGAGGCAGAGGGAGAAGCAGACTCCCCGCTGAGCAGGGAGCCCAAAGCAGGGCTCAATCCCAGGACTCTGAGATCATGACCTGAGCTAAAGGCAGACGCTTAACCAACGGAGCCACCCAGGCGCCCCTAAATTACCCCTTTATTATACTTTTGCTGGAATCTTGGAAGAGGATAAAATTGGATGTTTGTATTCAATCCACAATTTCTACCAGAAATCCTCTTCCCAGCTTTCTTGCCTTCGAGATGATTAAAATGAGGAAGAGGGATAAACTCCTTTCAGTAGCCCGAAGTATATATTGTACAATAAAGAACAGTGGGCCAGCAGTCAAGAGACTATGACTCTACCAAGCTCTACCAAGGGCTTTGTGTGTGAACTTGGTCAAGTAACTCTCCCTCTCTGAGTTTGGATTTCCTCAGCTGGGTTTGGATTGTAATGTTTAAAGTTCTTCATAGTTCTCACATTCTTAAGGTCTGTGTGGATCAAGAGACCGGACCTCTGTCCTCAGTCCAAGTTGTGTGTTTGTGTGTGTGTGTCTGTGCCTCTCCCTTTTTGAATCCTCCCCTCCTGCACTTTCTCCACAGTGGAACACACGGGCCAAGCGGGAGAAGCTGACAGAGCTGATGTTCGAGCAGTACAACATTCCTGCCTTCTTCTTATGCAAGACAGCTGTGCTCACCGCGTATGCTCTGGCTTGAGCGGCTCTGGCTGGGTGGAGGGCCAGGGTGGGGTTTGTGGTGTGCCAAGCTGGAGGCTGGACCTGATCCTGTAGAGATCAATGTCCTGGATGGGCAGACACACACCCTGTGCCCCATTAGTGCAGAGGGGCCCCTGTGGGCTAAGTGCTTTTGACCCTGGGGTGGCCAGATCAGCAGCTCTTTCCTATTCCTTGGATCAGGATGAACTGGGGGTGGGTGGGGAGGAGAGTTGGACCACGTAGATAGCAGGGGCTGGGACTGGAGAGAACAGGGAGGAATATAGAACACTGAGGAGTTTCCTCCCCAAGCAGCCAATCAGCATTCATTTTTTAAGGATCTGCCTTGCATTGGCCCCTGTGCTAGGCCCTGGGGCAATATGGCCCCTCATTTCAAGGAGCCCACAGAGCACTGAACCAAGACTAAAGAGAAACTGGGAGCTCAGAAGGAAGGAAAAAGAGGAAGAAGCTGTGATTCAGACAGGGAAGAAGAGACAGGGGTCTCAGGAACCTTTCTCCAGTGATGGGTCATAAACCAGAATGAGAGATTAGCAGACTGTGGATAGGCTGGACCAGGAGAACAGAGAGTGACCAGGCCAGACCTGAGTCCCAGTCCCCTCACTTGCTGCTGCTGTCTCTTTGACCTATCCATTCCACACCAGCTTTGCAAACGGACGTTCCACGGGCCTGGTGCTGGACAGTGGGGCCACCCACACCACAGCCATCCCAGTACATGACGGCTACGTCCTGCAGCAAGGTGGGGCCTCGACCGGGGTCGTGGATGCCTTGGGGTGGGGGGAGGGACTGGCCCCTAACGCCCTGTCCCTTTCCAGGCATTGTCAAGTCACCCCTGGCAGGAGATTTCATCTCTATGCAGTGCCGGGAACTCTTCCAGGAAATGGCCATTGACATCATCCCGCCTTACATGATTGCAGCCAAGGTGGGGCCTCAGGGGAGTCTTGGGCACTCACCCTATGACTGTTGACCCACGGACCCACTAGATATCAGAGAGGGGAGCAGCAGGGTCCCCAGAGGACCCTCGGTCCAGTTCCTTAATTTACAATCGGACAGGCTGAAGGACGTGGCCAAGGTCATATGGCCAGCTGGTAGCAGGACATATGGGGGCCAGTGCGATAGATCCAGGTTCAAGGTCTGCCTCTGCCATGTGAGAGCTGCGTGACCTAGAGCAGGAGATCGAAGCTCCCCGCACCTCAGTTTATTCCCCTGCGAAGTGGAAAAACAGCATACAGGGTTGCTGTGAGTGTTGAGACACTGCATGCAAGGGTCCACCCTGGACCCTCACATGGAACATGGCTGCTTCTTTAAGGTTCTCGTCTCCCAGTGTATTCCCCATGCCCTCCGCTTTCTCTGGCTGGGGCCTTTCAGATCAGCTGTACCTGCTGCATGAGTGGTGGACATGGGGACAGGCTCTCCCCATTCTCTCCTTTGACAGGGAAGGAGAGACCCCTCTTGTGGGCAACAGAGCAAATAACCCAGTGCCTGTTAGCTGCAGGAGCACAAGTGTGGTCAGGGTAGGCTGGGCAGGGGTGGTGTGGGGAAGGGTGCTCATAGGCTTTGTGCCCCACAGGAACCTGTACGGGAGGGCGCCCCTCCAAACTGGAAGAAGAAGGAGAAGCTACCCCAGGTTTCCAAGTCCTGGCATAACTACATGTGCAATGTGAGGAGAGAGTCCCCCGAAACAGCCCTGGCCCCCCTAGTCCCCTGCCATGAGTAGAGGGGAAGGGACAGAGAGGCCCTGCAGGTGGGCGGCTTGGGGGTGCTGCGGAGGGAGCCCAGGCCCTCACCAGCTCCCTGGGTCCTCAGGAGGTGATTCAGGACTTCCAGGCCTCGGTGCTGCAGGTCTCAGACTCTCCCTACGATGAGCAGTAAGTGGAGCCCACGGCCCAGGGGTGGGAAAGAGGGCAGGCCTGGGACTCCAGGGGTACCTCTGGCCCTCTGTGAGCACCCCCAGGCAGAGTCTCTCTCTCTCCTGGGCAGGGTGGCCGCGCAAATGCCCACAGTGCACTACGAAATGCCCAACGGCTACAACACAGACTACGGGGCTGAGCGGCTCCGCACTCCTGAGGGCCTGTTTGACCCCTCCAATGTCAAGGTTGGCCCTGGTGGAGGGTATCGAGGTGGGGGCTCGTTGGATTCCCCAGATGCCAGCGTGTAGGGGTGGGGGGCTGGGAAGGATCCCTGGGGTCTGGGGAGAGAGGGCAGAGGCCCACAACCCAGGTCACCTTTCTCGGCAGGGCCTGTCGGGGAACACCATGCTTGCTGTGGGCCACGTGGTGACCACCAGCATCGGCATGTGTGACATCGACATCCGCCCGGTGAGGCCCGAGCCTGTGTCTGGGCAAAGGGGCCCAGGAGCGGTGGGGAGACGGGCAGGGGCTGTGCCCTGACGGCGCACTCCTCTCTGCTCTCAGGGCTTGTACGGCAGTGTCATTGTCACGGGGGGGAACACGCTGCTCCAGGGCTTCACGGACAGGCTCAATCGAGAGCTTTCCCAGAAGACCCCGCCGGTAGGAGCCCACCCCGACCAGGGTCCTGGCTTAGCTCTTCAGGACCCAGTCCTTCCTCCTTCCCCAACGGCGAGCCTTCAGCCTCCCCCTGTGGCTTCCCAGTCTTCCCCACTTCCAGCCCTGTCCCTTCCCAGAACCCAGGTGTCTGCTTCCCCCAGCCCCTCTTTCCCCCCAGAGCATGCGGCTGAAGCTCATCGCCAGCAACAGCAC